TGGAAGGTTTTGAAGGAAATCCGGAGAGGTTCTTTCCAATACATAGTTAATAACAGTATGTTTAGCATTGTTCAACACATTTTGTTGAGCTATATCTCAGATTTAAGTCTCTGGTGTCGAGTAGACCACGCACACCACTGCCACTTATGATGAATCGTCGAAATACTTTTTAAGTGTTGAGTAGCACTATTAGTTGATTAATCGAGTGTTCTGAAGTCTGAATAGATGAGCACTTCTAGAAATGCAGAGTGCATTTTTGTTCAACACAGCTGAATCCCTACACAATTCTATCGTCAGAGTTGATAAAACTACAGATACATACACAGTTATAACGTCTCGGACACTCCCTTCAGAACTTCTGCTCTTGCAATAAATTTTACTCAGACTTGTCAACTATTTCTAAGTACAAATCCTGAATCTTATGGACTAGAAATGTGCAGTAAAATCACAAATATTCACACAGGATTGTTCCGAGAGCTCAGACACATTAGCTTTCACAAAAACAAACCTTCATTCTCCGACAAGTGCCATTATCCACAAATCTGCAATCGCCTCTGTTCAATAAAAGCACAAAAGATCACACTATCTTTGAGCAACTAAACCTGAAGAGGCTGAAATAAATAGCAAGTTAGTGATGGCAGAAACGCAGAGAAGAATGAATCCTCGAAATACTTTATCAGGTGATTAATCGAGTGTCACGAGCTTACTTTATCTTTTTCAAACGTTGTCGTGAACTCTGAAGTCTGAATAGATGAGTTGCTAGAAATGCAATCAACAGAATTGAACCGTACATAATTCCGCTGCTTTCTCTCATAAATGTTTGAAAACAGACAGAGAACGACGGGGAAAGTCCATTTCTGTATCCTCTGCGGAAAACATATGTCGACCGTAAGAGAGGACAGACATTAGTCTTATGAGTAAAAAATCCATTTCCGCAGTTGAACTTCACTTACACATAGTTGTTAAATATCGAAACACTTTTTTAAGTTTCTTTTCAAACGATAACGATGAAAACCTTGTGGTGAGGTTTGTCTTGCCATAATTTGTTTGTGAATACAGAAGATCACGACTAAGGTCATATGACTGTATGGTAACACAAAATACCTTTGCCCCGTTGTTCCGTTCCTGAAAGGCTTCTAACATTTTTCTTATTCTCTTGCGTCTTATTTGGTGACAGTAGTGATCATTTTTGCTTTCAGCTACTAATATCCTTAATAGATATATATATAGTTTGTGTTTCCAGTTGCACCTGGTCTGAAAAAAAAGAAAAAGTGTATGATAACCGTTGTGATTTGAGACGAAAAAGAAAACGAAAAGGCAGAAAATCAAACAAAACAAAACTATAAAATCGATTGCCTGATTGAAGTCATACACATTTTGATGAAATAATCATTTCTCATACGAGACAATAATCATATTTGTAAAAGTGGTAAGATAGTCGAGTAACTGAAATGTTGCACTCTGTCTGTGAAAATGAGAAGGAAAATTAACATTGAATAAAACACGTAGAAGTTCTGAAGTAGAAAATTTGAGCTTCACCTCTTATTTTCTCTCTTGATTAATGAATGTTATATTACAGGCATTCGATCTAACGTAAGTTTTCTATTCATAGTAAGTTCCATGCTTTTCAAAGGCGAAGTCATGAAAAACAAAAACAAAAATTGCTTTTCTCCTCTCTTCTATTAGAAAGACTTTTTTCAACTACTTACTTTGAACGAACATTAAATAATTAAAAAGAAATATAGTCTTCGTTTAACTGGTACAAATCCTCTCTTGTTATCTATCACAGGAGTGCCTATAATACAACATTCTCACATTAATCAAGAGAGAAAACAAGAGATGAAGCCTAAACTTTCTACCTTAAACTTCTTCTACATGTTTCATTCAATGTTAATTTTCCTTCTCATTTTTATATAACTCCGTTTGTTTCACTGTCGAATAGGCGTGAAACTGAAGTGTTGCATTTTTCACGCACCGCTAGAAAAAGTCAAACAAACTATATTGAAAAACCGCTGAAGGTAACATTTCTCGAGTCTGCTATTATCATTTTTGTAAGTATTTGTCGTGCACGGTCAGGATCATTCTCAACAAGCATCGAAGTAAAAGAAAAATGGATCATAAGACGACTCATCCAGAAACACGTTCCTCTCATATACTCATTTATTTCGTTTAACTTCAACGTTTGATCGCATGCTGATGTTGTTGGCACAATAAGAAGCATGATGCTGCTTCACGTTTGAGCGAAAATCATTTACATATGTCGTTAAAAGGTTATTCTTGGTTGTTGGTCCCAAGAGTTTTCGTATAGTCACTATGTAAATTGTATCAAAAACCATCTTTAGCTGTTTGTTGACTTTTTTCTCTACCAGAAGTGTTTTTAACAAGTCGTTAGAACAAAGAATTCTTTTACATACGGTTATTGTCAAAATATGATGAGTGAGTATCGAGTGTCTTGCGTTCATGTTCAGTTATGTTGAAAGGATAAACATCATTTTCTTTTGTGCGTGACAAATATTAGTTTCTGATGTTCTTTTTCTTGTGACAGCAAGTATTCAAGTCATCTGAGTGTGATTTAAATACATACGAAAAGCTACAAATGGAACGACGAAATTATCGTTTCATCTGCAAGCATCTGGATTCGATTGTTCAGTCCGAATGATGTTGTGGGAGACAGTGGTGTCTCTATGGGATGTATTACTTCGAACTAAATCTAGTTGACGCGTCACTTATGAAGAACTCTCTAGTATTCGACAGAATGTTTGATGGCTCATAGCTTTGTAAGTCAATTAGTCTTGAACGAACGTTGACTTAGTGATAGAAGCAGAGATGCAACTGTTTTACAATTCTGAGAACGGGAAAGGTACCGTGTTAAACATTTTCTCCCTGAATGGAACGGGCGTTCTAAATTTTCTCTTTCTTCATAGTGAAAGACTAATTTTATTGAAAAATAGCTCAAAGTGACGTCGATTAAAATTTTGTTTTGAGCGATCGTTCTAAACAGTCTTACTGGAACAGAACGTTACCGGTTAAAACTGTGCATAGATCTATACCTGAACGTCCTTGAAGATTTGTTGCTTATGCACATTGATTAACTGCTTATAGAACATTCGTCGGAAGTGTCTATTCAGAATGTTTATTTACGTAAATTCGAAAAGTGTGTGTTTTTCAGCTACCTAGTTAACTAGGTGTGCGTATTTACCTCGAAAATCAAATCATGTAAAGGCAAGCATTAATAGCCATCGAATCAGACAGTTGTTGAGAAACAGATCCAGTAACGCAGCTTATATGACAGAAATGCGGCAGCAGTTGCACAGCGAATTTCTATGTCTGAGTTGTGTGTAATTCTACTACATTGTTCATTTCATTGTTCTGTTTCTCCATGATAGCATCTTGTTTGTTCCCCATGTCAGACTGTTTTTGGAGACAAACTGAGAAGAGAGGAAAAGAAAGATCTAAATCTGCCTATGTGTCGGAAACGAAGAAAGAAAAGTTTGATTTCTTAATGTAATTGCTAATGGTAAGAAGCACATTATTATCTTCTCTTTTCCCGTTGATTAAACAAATAGTTTTTCATTAGAAAAGAAAGTGGCATCAGTTTTTGCTATGATTTCGATTATTCCACAGATGTATATGATAGTTGTCTGACTAACCTTCCGTCTTGTTTGAGACTAAGTGTGATCGCAATAGTAAGTCTAGGAAACGAGTTTTCTCTCAAGAGCTACAAACTTGTTTTGAAATATTACATGGCCACTGAGATTAGTCACGAAATAAAACAAAGGACAGATACTTACAGATTTTCTCAGATATTATTTAAATTATCTGATTTGATGTTGCCATGCAATATTACAGCTCGTTCAAAAGATTTTCTTGTTTCTTTAATAGCATAATCTTTTATTTTAGGAAGATTTGTGATTGAGTAGATGTGACGAGGTGTAGTGTAGAACAGCGAATGCTGCTCGAATACCTTTGTTTTGTGTGGTTTGCAGCTTTGTCCAGATTCGGTTTGTAGTTGATAGAAATGCTGCTGATCGATAAGTAATTACGGGCCTGATTAATCATTTGTACTTGAGCTCCTACCGTATACTTGTACTTTTTTCGTGTATGAAGCGAAAAGTGAATCATTTCCGTTTTAACTGGTTGAATCTGTGGCTTCCGTCACTTATATCAACATTCGAAATAGTATGTTGATTCGTATAAACGATTTAATAGATTATTATAAGAATGTATCGTTAAGCTGAAAAGAAGGCCGCTGCGAAGTGAAGCTTGTTTGATGAGAAACTTGAGTTGTTTAATATTTTCTCATTTTAGATCAGAAAATGAACGTGCAATGACTGTGACAATGACGTCGTCAGACTCAGTTGTCTCACTCACAGAATCCGATCAACACCATGTCGTGTGGTTTTTTATATTGACATGTTTATTTCTGATAATTGCTTGTGTTGGCATCATTGGAAATGTTCTAGTGATATTGAGTGTGCATTTAGATTCTCGAATGAGACGATCGCTTACAAATCGTTTAATTGTTCATGTCGCTTGTTGTGATCTGATTATTCTTCTGTTTAATATACCAGATATTGTACAATTTGTATCATCGAGAGGAAATTGGATTTTAACTGTTGTTCCATGTAAATTAGTTCGATCAACACTTGTCCTCGCACAATACGCATCGGTGCTGACAATGTGTGCAGTTACAATAGAAAGGTAAACACCGTAGCACATATCGGAAAAACAGGATATAGGACACTATGCAGACAAACGTTTGACTGACGAATGCCAGAACGGATGCGGAAAAGAAGTTCCACGGAAGGCGAGCAACGTGATATGTCCTACATATCCATAGATAAAGATCGACTCATTCAAAAGTCGTCTCAACTAGTTTAAAAATACTCAAGACGTACTCTTACTTCTTTCAAGATGTTAGTTCTTGGCCAATGCCGATAATCATTTGTTCATTATGTTTAGATTTATTGGCATTGTCTATCCGTTACGTTCAAAATTTCTTCGTGAGAGGAAACATGTTGCATTCATAATGATTGGCGTATGGTTATTTTCATTGTGTTGCTGTGCACCGAATCTCATTTATTTAACCGTTATCCATCATCCGAACTCGACCCGTTCAAGTTGTGCATTACAATTCACGACGACTAATTCAACGTCATCAAATTGTACACCTTATATCATTTACAAGAGTCTTGAATCGTGTTTTTTCTATTTCATTCCACTACTATTGCAATTGTACTGTTATACAAAAATAGCGAAACGATTGTTCAACGTCGATGAACATTTGCAAGTCAGCTTTCGTTTAGTTGTGCACCCTGATGAACAAAATAAGCTTTTTCAGTTAGAGCAAAGCGAGATGGTAGATAATGACGACGACGATGGTCACATGATTGAATGCGAGATGGATCAATATCCAACATCGATGACAAAAATGGCGCTGTCTGGCGACGGTCGTCGGTCGTACTTGTCCAGTTATGCGTCGCAACTGCACCTGCCACTTCCTACTCGCCCATTTGCCTCAACAGTGTCGGCCTCCTCTCTCAACAGTTTACATCAAAAACTGACAAATGATCAACATTCACATAATCCTAATTCAACCAATTTGCGCTACTTTAAACAGAGTTATACAGCTCATCGGACCACCTTGGCACTAAATGCTCTACGGAGTCGTCGTAATGTTATCAAAATGTTAATTATCGTTATCATCATTTATTTTATCTCGTTCAGTCCTCAAGTGCTCGCTTTTCTCCTGTTTGACACTGGTTTGACAAAAACTCCATTTGTACCATCACCCCATTTCATTGCCTTTACATTTTTACTCGTTTGTGTGAGTTCAGCATCGAATCCGATTGTCTATGTTATATTTTGCTCGAAGTTTCGTACCTCATTTCTGAAAATAATTAAACGTCTATTCGTGTGTCGAGTAAAAAGGACATCGTTGTCTCTACCAACTACTAGTTATACGTGCTGTGGATGTTTATATTTTCAACGAGGAAATGGTTTGACAGCGATCAGTGGTAGTGAACATTTCCGTCACGGTGTATCACCTCCACGATCAACAATATATCATTTTCACGATCATAACAGTAAAAGCACTAACTTAGCAAACGGCGGAGCTCGTCGTGCATTTCCTCCACGAACAGCTTATAAATTTGTACGAAATGGATAGACGTTGGCGATTGTGTTGTACATATTTGTTTGAAAATAAACTCGGTGATAAGCACAGTCGTTCTCGGAATATTATCTGCTTTCTCCCCGCTCCAATCGTTAACCTCAGTGCAGATTTGAGTAGTTGATTCGACTCATTTTGATTCTCTCAACATATCGAAAATGTGCTTTGCGTTCACCATTTTCGAGTTTTTACAATATTCAGTGAAGGTATATTATTTGTAGCTATTTGGGTTTCTCGGAACAGAGACGAGATACATTTAAATTTAGGTGCACTGACTTTTGAAGTAACGTTCCAACTTAATAACGTTTTTATTTGTACTATTTGTTTGGATAGTAATTTTCTGGAAAAATAATTATAAGGTATTATTTGAAATTTTTCTGTCAATTAGCGGGAGTACTTTGATTTTGATAGTAACACCCAGCGAATGGCAAATGGCCAGCACCTTGTTAACGTTACACTCATTGATTTTGAGTTATTTAGTTAAATTAGTGTGCATGAT